CGGAGCCAATTTTCTCATAAGAAACAACGTTATAAATGGGGGATTGGTTCCTGAATGAAGCCCGATACCCTATTTTCACCAAAACCCCCCCAGAATTTTGTACTTGATCAATTTTAGATGAGTAATGTAGCTACATTAATGTATTTATATTGTAAATAGCAATCATATTGATTTGGAAGGACTTCTTTGAGGTAACTTTCCTGGACTTTTTGAAGGGTTCTTGGCTGGAGTCTTCTCAGGAGTCTTGGTTGCAGGTTTTTCTGGAGTCTTGTCTGCTTTCTTAAAGAAAGTCTCCAAGGAAGCTTGGCAGACAAGGTTCTTTGGGTGAATCTGATATCTTTTATTAGACCAACTTAAATAGTTGGAAAACAATTATTAAGCAAGCTTTTGGGTTCAAGAACCCTTTGTCAGGCTTGGACAGATATTCTCCAGGGAGATGAGCGATGCAGCGAACTTCTTTGCTGGGGTGGCGTTGCATCGGATCAAGTGTTGTAAAGTCAAATCTGACATCAAAAAGTTGAAACAGGGTTTCAATTTATAAATGTTGTAAGTGCAAAATGTTGTAACTTGAAAAGTTGTAAGTCGAGGACTGCTTGTATTTAAAATCTTATTTCAAACAATATTTTTCTGCATGAAACTTGCTTATACAGCATAAAATTTAATGATATTAAAATGCTGTCCATAACACAGTCCTTTCTGTTATGTCAAGAACTATAAGGATCTTCTAAAGTGACTTATTCTGAATATATTTAATAAGTAGGGGTGAGCCTTTTGGCAGGTTTGCCACAAGGTGATCCCTGCACCTTCTGCATGCCATCTGAGGTGCTGCTCTGCCTTTTCTCACTGCTGTATTTGTTGTTGTGCTCCCTGTTCCCTCCCTAATCTCCTGCAGGCCACGCACAGAGGCTGCCTATGCCATTTGTGGTACCCATGCCACAGGTTGGCCACCCCAGATTAAATGATGCCCAGAATTTATATTAAATTGCAAGATTGCACCATGGATGTGCTATATATATTCTGGAAGTATAGCAATTGCTCCAGGGCAGCCTGACATGATAGAACTTGTAGCATAGACACTTCACTTGTACTACTTCAGGGACAGAAGAAAAATAGGACATAAGGGGGAAAGGGCGAGTCATGAAGGAACTGCGGCAAGAGAAATCTTGCCTGATCTGTATGTTCAGAGATTTGTTGGTTTAACTGGAGGTGCATTTTCAAATCAGTTTTAGATAAATTAGTGGTAGTAGTTTATTAACAGCTTTTGCCAAAGCAATACAATAAAATGAGCAATAAAAATATAAATAAATTGATGATAGTTACATAATTTTTGCAAAAATATACAGTAAGATCATCCATTCAAACAGTTTACACAAAATTAAAACAGAACATAGGATGATATAAAAGAAAACATAAAATGAAACACTGAATAATAAAACAGGAGAATTCTACTTGATTTTGGCCCTTATTATTGGTGCAAGTAACACAAATACACCTAAGGAGTTTAGGACAGGATCAGAAATGTTAGAAAAAAGCCAGATTTGTTTTTTCATTATTCCAGTTATTTAAAATATTTCATTAATGGAGAGATCCATTTCCTCTTACTTATTCAAAGAACAAAACAAGACCATACTTAGTGATATAAGGCATCTATCTCATTATTTCTACAAGAGCATTTTCTGTCTGAATATAGGGTCTGACACCATTTGCCTTTGATAGCTGCAGATCATGAGAGTGAATTTCAATCTAGTAGTGGCCTCTCGTGCAAAACTGCAAACGCAGACAGGTATACTCATGCTGGCATCTTTTATTCTTGGTGACTGTCGGTATATTTCACAGGCCATTTGTCTAGAGGAGATCTTATCTGGGTGGCTAAATAATGGTTTATTGGCAAATGAGAGGCGTCTAGACTGCACATCTTGGTGTATCTGGTAGGTGTAAATGGTCTAGTAATTTAAAGTTCTTAATAGAGCTAAGGTGCTCACATTTATCACTTCATTTTCAGAGCACCTGAGCCCCCCACTCTAGAATTACGTAGAGATAAAACCACCTTAAAAATAATTAGAAAACGTTTTCAGTTTTTGGGTGGACCATGGGTTCAGCACCTCTAAGTTCTGCTCTGTACAATAAAATGGATTCTGCCTTGGATCTATAGACTTTTAATGACTCAGCTCAGACTTTTGCTAAAGTAGATTTCAAGGTATTTAAAATAAGACATCAGTTCTAGTTTCTTTTCATGCAAAAAACTCATTTCTTCCTTTGATTTCCCAAAAGTAAGACTGGTTTTAGCTGTGTTCTTTTCCAAGATAGTTGAGGTGCAATAATGCTAAAAAGCATCTAGTAGTTTTTGTTTGGGATTATGACATTATTAACGCATCATCTACATAAAGTAAGATGGGGATAGGGTCATTCAAAATCATGGGCATATGGAGTTGATTCCTTGTTACCTCCCAATTTAGATCATTCAAGAATAAAGCAGAGCTAGCAAATATGCTTAGTCTTAGTTGGGAAACTGTTGAACGGGGCACTGCCAATCCTGTAATGTACCTTACAGGCTGTGTTTGAATAGAGGATAGCTTCATCCATTGATGCTGTTACGAGTTTCTTCTATAATTTTAATCTGTCTATGCATTCAAAAGCTCCCTTGGGATCTGTGAAGGCTATGATTTTTTTTTTTTACATATGTAAATGCTAAATAGTGCAACACCAAACAATGGTCTATACATGAATAGTCTTCTCTAAAACCAGCCTGCTCTTTTCCCAAAACATTATTTTCAGAAATCCATGTCTGAAGATGAGAAAGTAAATGTCTTCTGAGCATTTTGGCAAGACAACATATAAGACTATTGAAGCATTATGACACAGGAGCTGTCTTATCATCATTTTTAAAAATTGGGACTATTATATCTTCATTCCAGTGTTTTGGATAAATGCCTTATAAGTATGTTAAAATTTTGGTCAGAATTAGACACCAATCAATGAATTTCTTGAAGATTTCTGGGGGAAGAGAGAAACTAGTGAGGAAAAACTTTTGAATTCCTAATTTGATTTAAATTAATGTCCGTCAGTTTAGGTTGCGTCAGAAAATTCCCAGGTACAAGCTAAAACAAATATAGCATGTCTTTGAGTTGCCATAAGTGTATCTGCATGTTTGCCTCAGTTCATATGCCAGTATATATTTTAAACTAGTGCAACTGCTGTATTGAGGTAAGATCATGTAGAAGTGTCACACATGGTAAGGAAGAAAACGTGGCTTCGAAGCCCCAGTCAGAAACCCCGCTCCAGAAAAATGATTCAGTAGTTGGGAAGATGCCTAAGCAATAAAGGAAATAGTCACCTGACATCAGGTTTAAAGCATAGGCCTGTGTCTTATTTCTAAACTTTAACCCATTTGTATCCTGATTGTTGGTATCTGGAAAAAGCAGATAAGAAACTTGGTTGTAATACTGGATTTTAATTTCTGCTAGTTTGTAACCACTCTTGTGTGGAGAGAGGAAGTCAGCCGTGTTAATTTGAAATTAGGCAATTAGCCAGGCTGATATAATGATTTTATTCCTTTGTTTACCTTTGCTCTTTGCGAGTCCATTCATAACATCTCACAAAAGTAGGCTATAGCCTACAAAAGCTCATGTCTCCCTGAACAAGTTAGACTGTAAGGTGCCACTTACTTACCTTCACTTCTGTGTAGTTATAATTAATTAAAATATCATTATGTGTATATAATTTATAAATGATGATAATAAAGAATATGCTAAAACATCTTATGACATTTCAGATTTGAGGTAAATCTACAGATCATGGCACTGAGGCTTGCCAAATTTGGGCAGTTCCAGCTTTTGCATTGTTAGACTCTTGACTGCCCACAGAACTTTGAAAAAATGAGAAATTTACGTACAAAAACAAGAAAGTAATATACCCCCAAAGCCTTAAGTTTGTCCATTTATTACATAGTGCATGTTAGGCTTTACGGACAAGTTAATAAACTCTTAGGAATGATTTGTATAGATAAAAAATAAAATTCCTCCCAAAGTAGATCTTTTCTGGTCATTATATTACATAACTATATTCTGCTAAAAGTATTCACAGTAGTTTGTGACTATTGTGTGCTAAATTTTGTAACTAGTTGAGTGTCCTAGTTGACTGTCTGTAATACTGTTCAAAACTGTCCTTTTAAAACTGTTCAAACTTTAGAACAGCTTGAGTTATCCATGGGTTTGTTAGTTTTTATCTGACTGGAGAAAAGCTACATTCTTGTGTGGCATGCCATTTACCTTAATTCACACAAGTAAACTTTACTTTGAGTCAGCCTTTGTGCAAATAAACTTTTAAAAATTTAGGATGGTTGCCTAATGTATAGTGGCTTAATGTAGCCTTCAGTATATGACAGACCACTTACTAATCACCATTCCAGCATGGTTTTAATTTCCATTTATAATCAAGTGGCAAGGTTTGCTCTTTGTCTTTTGTAAGCCTGCCGTGCAATTGTACTGAACAAGTTGGGGCAGGATTGCAGAATGCTGGAGGTAAAAAAAAAAAATCTTCCTGTATTACTGCTTTGACCCCCAAATCAGTCCTCCTACCAGCTTTTCACTTCTAGTTAACTGAGATACTCATTTTTGTTGAGCAGATTTCTGTCAATAATAGAAATGTGTTTTATCCATTCAAAGCCTGCTTCCACATTTGCTTGATTATTTGACAATGAAACTACTAATTGTATTGTGTTCTTTCAAAGACAGTTGTAATAATGTCTCCTTTTGGAGCAAGGACATTGTTAGTGCCTGTCATTAGTCCAGCATTAGCCTACTTTATTATGTTAAAAGTCTATAGATGATCAGGGAGAATTAAAATACTGCTCATTTGATAAGTGGCAACAAGTTTTCATTTTGTCACTTAAAGCATCCCATATCATGTTTGGCATGCACTTTGCTTAAAACGAAGTTGGTTGGACAAACTATACATCTTTAAGAGTGAGGTAATGTGTTTTTTGTTTTCCTCCTATCCAGATTTTTGAAAAAGTTTAACTATTAGACCTTGGGGTATGAAAGAAGATCCTAGGTAACTGGCTGGTTCTGCCTCAGCAGCAGATTGAATGCAGGCCTCTGTTTCTAGATTGCTTCCAGAAAACAAGTTTTCAGGTAAGAACTGTCTGTGGTTGTGTAGTTATTTGGTTATAGTTTCTTTAGTAACTAATGCACATTGTATGTATTCTGGCAGCATTCATTACAGAAACACAATTAAGTGGGTTATTTGGCCCACAGGACTAATATGAACACTATTAAAACAGAAACATGAATTCTGGCATGCCTCTGCTCAGTCTTTTTAACTATGTCAAGAGTGTTGAATTTGTTTTGTTCTTCCCATTCTTTCCCCTCCCCAGCTTACACCTTGATCTTTTCTGTTCTCATTCCCCACTCCTGTTACCTGTTCTCCAGGTTCATCCACCACACATCTGGATTTTGTTATAGGTTATGTGATTAAAACTAACAAAGTACTAAACTAAATGGATTTAAGTTGATAGTGTCCATTTAATGCCTAATTTATTTATGTTCTTTTTGATTGCTTGTTGTCCATGACTGATGCCATAAGCTACTTTTTCTATGAGCTAGTCCTGGCATTTTATTCATTCAGAGAAAATTGTGAACTCTTTGGAGCAGAGAAATTGTTTAAGGTTGAGTAGACTGCCAGTGTGGGAAGGCATTCCAGCACATTGTATGTGTGTAGTCTAATTTCACAGATTGTACTAAACTGTATGTTTTAAGAAATTGATTTTGTTGTGTTACTTAGCCTGCAACACATGCTGGAAAGTATAAAACTTCAACTTTAAGTTTTAGAAAAAAATCTTTGTGATTCAAGTATTATATATAAATAAATATAATGTATGTATATCAATAAAAGTACTTGTATAACAAATATTTTAAACTTGTTATATATATGCTGTTGTGAATATTGTTGAATCAGATGCATTTAACTTCTTTCTTCAAAATATGCTTAATTTTTATGACAAAAGCAAATGATGCCATATGAATTTTAGCAGATCCTTTATTTTTTTATTTTTTAAACAGAGTTTATAATGTTTTTATATCTTACAGATAATCCAATGGCTGACCAAAGGATGGATATTTCTTCTACAATTAGTGACTTCATGTCACCTGGTCCCACTGACCTAATCTCCAGTTCTCTTAGTACTTCAGGAATGGATTGCAACAGGAAAAGGAAAGGAAGCTCTACTGATTATCAGTAAGCATTTTTTCTTAATTAAGCGTAGTTTAACATAGTTTAAAGAGTACCTATTTTCTATCCAACTACAATTGATTTAAAGAAATGATGCTTTTTTACATACTGAAAATGCTTTGTTCCTCAGAAATGGGGGAATTCCTGGCTTTATAATAAAATAAAATAATCTATAACTAGTGTGTATGGGTTAAAATAGGTCAGATTTGGAATTTATTAAGGATTAATTATCTATCATGGTCCTCCAGTTGGTGTAATGTTTCTGGGGTATTATTGGGGAGAGGTTGAAACAAAACAAGTATTTTTCTAGTAGACCTTTTCTCTTAATTTTATTTTTGGCAAAGCATTTGAAAACTGCTCAGAGTCTAGGTGTGTTAAGTGTCCTAGTGAACGTGGATTAGTTGGCAGAATATATATGAGATATTCTGACTGGTTATCAAATAACTACACTTTCACGTGGCAATCACTAATGCATGCATGTACCTGGAGAATATGTATATTTCGGACATGGGGATGTTCATATAATTTGTTTTTAGAAGTACTCCAATTTCACATTCTAACCTTCCTTTAAAGCATAAAAAAAAACAGATAACAACATTACATAGAGGAAAAAATAAAAGATACATTTTAAAAACAATTTTCTTTCTGTTTCTAGAACATATGAGTTGGATCCATAGTATTTGCTTTGCTTATCAAAGACGCATAAAGAAATGTTGTTATATCACCTTTTTAATGTGAAGTGTTTTGATCACAGCCATACAATACATCATTCTGTGAGCCTAGATTCGTACCAGATGTCTTTTTTGTTTTTTTGCTCTCACGTGATTTTTTTCCTTTGGAGGCCTAGTTAAAACAAAGGCATGAGCAAAGCACTCAAGTTAGGAGGATGTTGCCCCACCTGTTAGTTCTCACAGAAAATGCCTGTTAAATCCCTTTTCTACCAGCATCATCAGTAATATAGAACTGTGGCTTACAGTGGATACATGAAGCTGGAAAACTTAGTGAATACCTGTAAGTGAGACAACAGGGTGGATAACGCTTATCTCTTATATTTAAAGCGATATGTCTACCTAGTAAGTGGAAACAAGAGAATAGATTAAAAGGCAGAAGCAAAGCTAGGAATGTTCCCCCTTTTCCCCAGACATTTAATTTCTACCCATATGCTGTATGAGGAATCTTACGTGATTTAAGAGTACATGTTTTTGGTTCCTTCTCAGAGTCTGAAGTCTGGTAATGTGAACTAAGGAATTTTTTTTGCAATAGGTCATCTCTTGCTTAATCAACTGTTTTGCTGAACAGTTACAATTAATTGTTCTTCAAAACGTAAGTGTCTTTCATTCAAAAAGAGAAAGATTTAACGATGGAACTGAGTCACTAAAAATAACCCCTCTCCTTTTAAGTTAAGAAAGGGTTTTTTTAAGTCAAAAACAAGGAGCTGCCATCTAAGATTAGCTTCACATATTTGCCCTAGGAAGTCATAGACTGACTCATTATTAGGAAAGTGGAGGTTTTAGTAATCTGTACCAGATATATAGCTAATCTGCATTCTTGCACTCCAAAACTAACCCAAGGCTGTGTAAAAAAACAGTCTGTTTATCCATAGTATTACAAAGACTAGGTATGCAATAACTGATTTAAGGTCTTGTCTGTTAGTAACATGGCCTGCTTACAAACATTAAAAAAAATGGTGCTTTACTTTAAAGTCTGTGACCCCAGGGCACTGAGGCTTGTGCATGCCCAGAAGAGGCATCACGTTAGTTGGACCCAGCTTGCCCAATGTCTGTATAAATAAGGTGCTTCAAGGGGACTTTTTTGGGCACTTTTATGTAATAGCTGATTGAATCTGCTGTTTGATAAGTGCCAAAAAGTCCTGCGGCAGCACCTGATCTATACAGACACTGTAGAGCCGGATTGAAGTAACATGCTGCTGCTTCAGGTAAAGCATTTTTTTTGGTGGTTTGGTGGTGGGTAAGGTCTGCAAGCAGCCACAGTGACTTGCTTATGTAGTATATCCCTTTTGCGTAATTCTGCAGTTTTTTTCTTCTTAAGACCTCAAACCTGATGTTGGAATATTCCTTTTCTTCAGACAATTTTAGTTCATACTGAGCATGCCAGTTAGGAAATGAGTTAAGAGACTTTTTAGGATCTGAGGACACCATTTCTAATTCTTGTCAGTCCTTTGAGCCTAGATATATGTATATTCTGTATATATGTCCTCCTGAATATTCATCAAGCCAGCTTTGTCCTGATCTCATCAAATTCAACTTTCTCTAGAACAGTGGTGCTTAATGTCCACCTCATAGGACAGATCTGGCCCTCAGAGCTGTCATCTGGCCTGTTGGTCTCCCCGTGGATCTGGAAATTTGATAGTTGGGGAATGGTGGCAACATCAATTTTTGCTCTCCTGCTGCCAAATTTCCAGACCTGTGGGGAGCCTTGTGGGCTGGATGGCATGTCCCTGTGTACTGGATCAAGCCAGTTCACGGTCAGGCCAGGACACAGAGTCACTCTGCAGCCACATCTTATGTACAGCGGCAGGCCATGTGTGAGGTTGGGCCATGATGCAGCTAGATCCACTACATGGCCATCATGTGGCTAGATCAGTGTGGCAGGGAGCACACCCAGGGACAGATCTCATGCTGGCCCACCCACCTGCCTCTATGGGGCAGTGTGCCCAGTCTCACTTGCCACGACTTTGCTGTTCCCATAAACTGGAGGTATAATGCAGGAGGCTGCCCGTTTCCTGCCCCAATGCCAGCAGGTGCTATCTGCGGCCCCAAACCTCCCCTACACCACAGCCCATGCCTACATCACGACTGGGGCTCCAGGGTCTCTCAGGGACTCTCCCTCCCTCCCTGGAGTAGCAGGTTATTGTGCTTAACCTTTAGGACTTTCTTTCGACCCACACTCAGCTTCCTTGCGGTGGACGACTTACCAGGGTTAGGAATCACCCCTAACTCTCTGGCCGAGCCCCCCATGCAGCCTTTGGCCCAACTACGGCCTCAGGCATCCGAAGACATACCTTGGCCTACTCCCAACTCCTGGGGTTCCTATTGTGCCCACTTTAGGGCGTCCACAACATGCCCCACCCTGGAGTCTTCTCATCATCCTCACAATCAACCACTCCCAGGGCTGGTCCCTGGGACTGCCCTTCAGGCTTACACCCAGTTCGGCCCTACTCACTGTGCCCCTGGGACTGCCCTTCCTGCCTACTCATGTTCAACCCTACTCTGTGTGGGGCCACCTGCATCCCTGCCCTCTCAGGATTTTCACAACTCTGCCCTCTTCCCTAGGGCCTCACTACACTGCCTTTCCTCAGGGCCTTTGGGTGGACTACCCCTGTAGGCTTAGGTGCCTGGCCCACCACATGCACTCCCTGGGGTCTTGCACCCCACCTTCCCCAGGGGCTCAGGTGGCCGCAGCCGTGCCTGGCCCCACTACTGCCTCCAAAGCCCACCTGAAGATGGGGACTGGGATTAAGACGCTCCTTTCACCGAGGACATAACTGGTCTGGCATTTTCTGGGGCCCCCCACTCCACTAGGAGCCCTACCAGGCCACCCTTCCCCAGCAGGGTGCAGTTTTAAGTCACGCCCAAGACAAAGAGCCTCCTGCTCATACCTGCTAGATGTCCCATGCAGTTCAGCCAGGCAATGTTTGTGCCTGGGCTGGCAGCAGCAAACTGCAGCCTTTATGTGCCTAGTGCTTTATATGCCTGGCTGTTTCCTGTTTTCTGCCCCTAATGTGGCAGGCACCCAAAGGTGCACTGCCACAATCCAGTACATCTGGTACATATCTGGCACTGCCCATATATGGCATGCAGGGTCAGGCCAGCATGCCAGATTGCACCCTTAGACCAGCCCTGCATGCTGAGCCTGGACTGGTTACAGTGGACTGGCCCTGCAACACTCATTTGACCAATAGAGCCAGGTAGGTTGAGCGTTCAGGGGCCACTACACTAGAATAAGTGATGTTAGGTGGGTACCTTGTGCCTAAAAGCTTCTCTAATATCCCAATTATGCAGTTGGTTCAGTAAAAGATTTCACCCCCTTAAAAATCCCTGCCTCTCACGTCACTTCCTTTTCAATCTTTTTTTTTCTGAATGTGTAATATTTCTGAATTCCTCTGTTCTTCTGGAAAGACTAAATCTGCTTTTTATGCTGCAAACCTTTTGACAGTCTTTGGCCATGTCCAGATGAGTATGGGAGTTTGTTTCCCTGGGGACAAGTAGCAGCAGGACATCATGTACTGCTGTTACTTGTCCCCAGGAAACACCCATGCCACACACCTTCTGGCATGCAGCAGGTTACCCTGGGTGGGACAGGGGGGAGGCTGGGGCCAGCTGCTGCCATACCACAGAATCTCCTGGGATCAACCCCCTTGCCCCCTGTGCTGCAAGGTAACAGCGCGGGGAATGCCCGTACATGCAACGTGTGACACTGCAGACTGCACGTCCATGCTTGTCTGGATATGGCCTTAAGGGTAGAATTTGAGCTTCAGTTAAATAAGTGAGAAACATATAGTTTCTTTACATCTAAAGCCCTTCAAATGTCTGTTTCTAATCAGAAGACACTCCATAATAAACTTTAATGGTGGTTGCACCTGAAGCGTAAAAATGTTGACCTGGCCATTGAACACCCCTCTTCTGTTTTTTATAGTAATTGACTCCTGTATTTTTTGTAATAGACTCCCCTGATTTTTCCTTCTGTCTGGACATAACTGTAATAGGTTGTTTGAAGGCAACTGTGTTGAGCTGCTTACATTTACTTTACAGTTATCTTCTTGTAATTGCAGTTCTTTCAAGTGAACAGTGAATTAGATTGCAAGAAGCTCTAATTCACTGTTCACCTGGCATAAAAGCAGTTGTGTAGCTATTGGTGAAGTAGATGTAAGCAGCAGGAGATTCCTTCAGCTTAATTGCTCTGTGGTGGAACTGGCTTAAACTCTATCACATACAAAACAGCCATCAGTCTGTTCTCCAGATTAGCTCCCATCGGTTCCACTGCTG